TCATGTTGGTTACACCTCTAACTATAAATGCAGTCTGCACAGGCAAAACCCAAATCTGAAACTGAGCATAGACATTCAGCGCTATTTATTGTTTGAATAATCAATGTAATAGGACACATCTAAGCAACAAAACAAACCTGTCAATCACATGTTCCAATACTTTTGCTTATATGAAAAATGGATGGTGCTATCTTCTAAGTTGTGTATCAGATCCAGATGTAAATACCTGGAAATAAAAGGTGAAATGTTGATCTGTTGTTTTGATGTCAAACCCAAATGTTTTCAGTCTACAGCAGAATTAAAGGAATTGGCCTCACTCTTCCAATACTTTTGAAGGGGAGTGTATGGCAAGCTTTACAGCAAAGGATGGAGAGAAAAGACAGACAATTACATACATGTGAAGAGGATGCTCATGATATAATTGATACAATAGAATCAATGCAAATCCTGAGTATCTCAAGATTTTGAGAGAAGTGACCAGATGACAAACACATTCTTTATGTCTTACACAAGGGCAAGATAAAGGTAAGCAAATGTCACAGGCTTTATATATCCAGCTTTGAAGTAAATATGAAAAGTGTTCATATGCACTTTGCTTCCATTACCTTGAGTTGAAGTACATAATCAACTTCCTGAGTCTAAAAAAAACTCTAAATACAAGGAAACTATAAACAGACTGGTCCAGGATGTGTTAACTTGGTGTAGGGGCTGGAAATTGGGGAGTAGGTGAGCCTCTACCAAAGGAGGAAAAATATGCCTGCTGGTTAACAACAAATAAAACACTCAGTAACTGATTTACATTTTGTCCTCCAGCAGGCGTGCAAATGTTATCCCACATTCAGTAATCATTTAGTTTTGTTCTGGGCTGGAGGATTTGTGAACCCTGCAGCTTCACCATGAGGACAGACTTCTCAAGTGCTGTGTGCTGCAGCAGGCCTAAGCAAGCTGTAGATGGTCAGTAAATACCTCCAAACTAAAATCAATTTTCTGTCTTTACACATGTTGAGATGTGAGCAATTTCATATTTTGAGTAACTTGCCAAACTCCTTTCATGATTAGGAGCATGGTCGTGATTAAGGTTCGGGAAATATAGTGGTCATGGTCATACGTTCTGATGACGTGGGTGCTCACTGGGCAGGCTGATCATAAGATGAATTAATAATAATATTGAATATGACTCAAAAGACAGTTTCAGCTGAGTTATGGGAAACGAAAGATCTAGTATTCAGATCACACTCAAAAAGCAAACATCGACAAACACAGCCACATAACAACATACACAGCCACAACATCCATAATGACATAGATGCAAGCATGTCAGTATAGGCTTAACACATTGCTGCATGCACACACACACATGCATCCTTGTACTTCACAAGGACCCTTCACTCACTCAAGTGTCCTTACAGACAAAATGCCCTCATTCAACAAGCTGTAACAACAATGACAACAATGCACAACATATGGCTTTGTAATAACATCACTGCATTATGCATGTTCAGAGAAGAAAATTACCTCTGACACATAGTGGAATCGATTCAATTACATGAACATGACCATTACACCATTTTCCTCCCTAGCTATCAAAATGTGTTTTTTTATATATAGTTTACTGAATTAAAAAGCTACAATATGCATTTCAATATCCTATCTTATTAACTAACAATTTCATAGTATTCTTTGTTTTTCAAAGAATGGAAAGAAATAAAGTAGTCCTGAAAGATAAAATCACTGTAGTAGTAGTTTCTCTAATAGGTGTGTGATCTATGAGGTAAAATTGCTGTTTTTTTCAATGGAGTCTTTCTCTGTAAGAATCCTTTCCATAATATTCAATGTCCAGTCTGTCAGTGGCAAAATGGGACAATTTGTCCCCAAGAATTTCGTTACAGCCATTGATCCCATTTTGCTGCTGCATAGAGCCAGAATATGTTCACATTTAACCCGATTAATTAAGGGTTTATTTCGATCAAACCACAGTTGGTGATTGTTGGAAAGGTCATGGAAAGACTAACAAAGACAGTTTTGGTGATTTTTATTTTGTTTGTGACTGAAGTGTGTTATGATCATTAGGATAGTCAAATTATGCTGTTTTTAATGGAGTATGGTGGACGATAGTGCCCATTTGTTTTGTTCTGAAATGCTGGTGCTCTAGTGGTCCTGAAAGTCGTATACAACACCTTTAATGTTCTGTTATGTTTAGGCACTTTACTCCTATTACTGCTACTTCTATCTCCATGCAATTAATGATGAAATGCCTTTCACTGAACTTTTATGTGTGAAGTATAGTCAGATCCCTTATATAAAATTAATTTGAGACAGTTGAGGCATAGGAAATACAGTATGCTGGAACAATTGTCATTGTTTAACATCCATTTTTATCGGTTTGACCCATGTGCAAATAGTTTTTTAACCATTTATTTTTTCTATTTTTACAGGTCAAGGAAAATAAAAACTCCTTTTTAGGGGCTCTCTTCTTTAGCAATGTTGTACCATAAACGATTCATATTCATATATTTGCAAAAAATTAAAATATAAGTTGTAAGAGAATTTTTCTTTCCAGTATATCAATACTTTTATTATTGAATTTCCTGGATTTATTACACTTATGTTTAGCTTCACACCTTTAATCAGCTGTGTTCACTCATAAATAGCTTTCACATCTTTGTTAAATTCAATTGAAGGTATCACCACAAAGGTATTAAAACATCCTAAATGTTATTCTAGAAACCTGAGTTACCTTCTTTCAACACACATTAGAGGTATTTGGATGACAACGCGGCACAGGTTTGCAGTTCCAGATGGCACCAGCTAATGTGTTGCCTCAGACGCAGAGATGTCTGCCAGCGTGGTCTCCCTGATTTACTCACTGTGTTCATTATCCCGCTATTATTTGTGAGGGCCGCCCCTGGCCTCCCACCTCTATTTCCATCTCACCGTACCCTCCAGTTCGTGTCAGCTCAGATAAAAGCTGACCCCAGTTAAAAGTGAACATCAGTTTCGCTCTCTTTGCCGCTGCAAACAAAACATGACACAGATGCAGAAAAAGACAGAAGAGTTAACAAATAAAAGTTAAAAGCAACATTATTAACTAGGATGGCTGCCAGGAAGGCTGTATTTTGTGTAAAGGTCGGGGTGTTGGGTGGGCATGTATCGCAGAAACCAAAGTTTGCACCCTGTCACAGACTTACAATTAATGTTTTCCTTTGTGTCAACAATTACCACAATCTTATCCCAACCTTAAACCTATTTGTAGCCATGCATTAATATTGTGAAAAGCAAGAAGAAAACGGATCAGGGCATATTGCTTTTATGTTTTGATTAGTCCCAGTGGAATCAAAACTGATGTTTGAATAAAGTTTTATGAAGATGTTCAGGAACAAAGACAACAAGAACTCATCTCATCAAAAAAGTACTAATAGCTTATCCGTTCACTTCTTCTTTGTCTCAGTTTTCCTTCCTCCCCATACTCCTTCATCCCTCGACCCCTAGCCCCTACCCTACATCCCTCATCCTCCATCCCTTGACTCTCATCCCTCAACCCTTAACAGTTTGTTATCTTGGTTCACCTTTATTCTTTATATGCAATACGCCATTCTTATTCTACTTCGTTTAAGAATGGTTGATTCTGATTGGCTGGGAGGAGGACATTAACCCAGCATATTGCCCGCTGACTGAGCACAGC